GGGAAAAATAGGAAGAATACTAGGTGTGTTTGCTGCCTTGAGGTATACATAAACATAGAAAAGTAGGGAAATAAATAAAGAAATTAAAGTATTTTAAATTTCAGAAAATGCTGTTATATCGTTAAGTATAACAGCATAACATGTTTATTTAGATTTTCCATTAAAATAAGGATAAGCAGTAACAGCAGTGTTAGATTATTATTTATGGCAGCAATAACTGCAAATAGTTCTCCACTTACAACCATTTGTTTAGCAACCATTCAAAATTACAACAGCACTGAAAAAAGTGACTTATAACAAGTCCTATCACTTAGAACCATTGCAGCATCCCCATGGGTCACACAATCAGAATTTGGGTCTTGGTAACCAGCATGTCTTTATAACAGTTGCAGCATCCTGGGTCGTGTGATTGCCATTTGCCACCATCACAGCCAACTTCTGACAGGAAAGGTAAGGTAGCAAGCTGGATTCGCTTAATGACTGTGTGATTTGTTTAACAACTGCGGTGATTCACTTAATAACCAGGTCAAAAAAGATTGTAAAACCAGCACGACATATTTAAAAAACACCTTGCTTAGCAACACAAATTCTGATCCCAACTGTGGTTTTAAATTGAGGCCCATCTATTCTATTATTTTGCATCCTACCTTTTGTCCCATAGTGATTTTATCTGCTTTAAAAATGAAAAAGAAAGGTGAAACAGAACAAATGAAAACCAGACTTGTGCTTTTAGTAAAAAACTAAAGTAACTACTCTTTGGATAACTTTTGTGAAAATGCATGGAAATGGGAGTATAAAGATAACTGTTTGTCTATTCATCCCAGAGTTTAGAATCTAAATCCACCTGTGAACTGCAATTAAATTTCTTTTATTTTATCTATTTTATCTGTCTACTTATTTAAGAAAATGTATATGGGTTCTGAACTCTCAGTGACTCTGGGCAGCTTAGAAAGATAAAAATCTCATATAAAAAAACCAAAAAGCGATAACACCCTATCTCCTGGTGATAACCATCAGTCAGACAAGCCACTTGATGGGCTCCATCTCACTCTGGGTTCCCCAGGCCCATTGGCAAAACCAGGTCTTTAGGACGTAGCAAAAGAGTGTCTAAGTGGGGGGCTATCTTATTTCTGTGGGGATGATGTTCCACAGGGAGGGAGCTACCATGGAGAAGGCCCTTCTTCTTAGTCTAACTAGATATAGTTCCCAGGGAGAGGGGATCCATAGCATTGCTTTCCTCCCTGCTCTGGTAGGTCAAGTAGATGTGACTGGGAAAAGATGGTCCTTCAAATAACCTGATTCTCTTTTTCATAGAATGGGGCAGTTTTGCTGGTTGGATCAAAAAGTTATGAATTCAGATTGAAGGTTGAGTAAAGAAACTAAAATAATTCAGGATCTAGTGCTTCTTTCCTCCCAAGTTTTTAAATAGAGAGGGTATGAATGTACTGTACTTATATTCTATAAACATACCTGGGTAATAATAGCAAGCTCAACTGTAATAAAATTATTTTTTTCTTGTTGAAGCCAATTTCACAGTCTATAAGGCATATTTATGTTGTCTTTAACACTTCTCAGGTGATATGAACATTGGGTATTCTTTTTATGAACAAATTAAAAAATGGCAGAAGGAAGAAAGGAAAGATGGATGGATGATGGCTATATCTGCTGTATTGTTTTTTTTTTTGAGAGAATAGTGTTTCCCCCCCCTCATTCCCCCCCCCCCGGAATGGTCACTTGAGGAATTACCCGAAGCCTGTTTATGAAACAGGTGAAGTCTTTCCAGGCTAATTATATTCAGCATGTAATTTCTAAACTTCACTCTGAATTTTGATTTTCAATTAACATTCCCAATTTGAAGATAATTTTCTATTTAATATAATTGCAGGAAATAATTTATTGGCTGATTAGGACTGAGGGCCCGGCCTTTCTTAAGAAAACACTGCCTAACAAACCAGCCTTTAAAAAGTCATCTCAGCTTTAGACAGATTTAACCTATTTTTGCAGCTGCACAGTTGCATATAATTAGGTTTGTGCACTGTTATTCATTGGTGCAGTTTGTAGTTAGAATTATTCTTATGAGACATTTTCATTTCTGGGTTTGTGTCATGATTAATTTAAACTGAAAAATGCAGCCAAAATGTATTCCTTCTGGAAGACGTCGGTCCTGTTTGTAATTGGAAGATGCCTGCAAAGGCTCAAGTGAATAGAATCATCTTCCAAAGAACTGTTTTAAAGGCATCTTTGTGTTAAATCTCTGACAATATATTCACAGTTTCAGTGTGCAGAATAAGGCATGGGTATAATCTGTTTATTGTCTTTGAAATAAAGTATTATGTTTTACACCCTGATTCTAAATATTTGTTATGACTTATCTGTGTGCAATACCTATATTACAATTAGACCATGCTCTTCTTTGACAACAGTTATTTTTTGGTTTTGAAATGTATAGAATATTCAGGAATCAGCTTCTTAGTTGTTTATATTTTAAGTCACTTTTAATGTAGCATCTTAGATATTCTTATACTGTCTATAATTAATTCTCATGGCAAAGATGTCAGCCTAAACATCATTATAATTATTTATAAGGTGTTATTCTGCTATACATTGATATTTTTATATATTGCAAACTTATTCATGAAATCTATAATGCTTTCATTTAAAAATAAATAATATTAGATAATTCATTATTATTTTTTCACTGTAGGATACTAAATCTGAGTCTTCTCATTAATAGTGAGAAATTTAATAGTAGCTGTTAAATCCTATGTGAAAGTTGGTCTGCTACATTAAAACCTACTGTTTAAATTGGAATTAACTTAATTATTATTATTTTTTACACTTGATATTTCTTTCACTGTAATATTCATGAAAGCATGTGTCAGATTTGTAAATTTAACTGTTAGTCTCAGATTTCCAGGCTCCTTAATCAGTAATTATTTGTCTATAGAAACAGTACTACTGAGTTAATGATTTGCTAATTTGGAAAATGCTCATGTGGTTTCCCTTGTTAACTGATTTGCGCATTTTAAAGGAAATTGTATGAAATCAATTATTATTAAAGAGTAATTAAGGTGGAGACCTCATTCTAGAGTTGTTGAAACAGTTTTAGCAAAAATGATATATATTGAGATTTTAGAAAATTTATAATCTCTACAACATTTCAGTTTTTACTGAAATAATTTATATTTGATTAGCATTCTATTCTGGTGGAAAAGGTTTAAAGGTTAAGACCAAATGTATAGTGGAGATATTAACAGATGTTATAGAGATATTTTTAATATTTCTTTTTACTTCATTATATTCCAAATGTTATTCCTCTTGTTTGAAATGAATAATAGAAAAAAATTGATACCCTATATAACTGTGAAAAACTATTCAAGCTATAAATCATTCAGTAAGATACACAAAGGATTATATCACTTTTCTGCATTAATATTCCAGGACTTTGTTACACTATAATGGCCCTACCTTCTGGATTGGGGGCAGGTTGGGAAATGTTTTCCTTAGGAAAAAAAAAGGTTACTGTGATGATTAAGTCATCATTTGAGGGGCAAAACTCACAAATGTTTTATTTTTCCAAAATCAACATAAAACTAATGGCAAGAATTGATCAAGCTGCCTTGATCAAATTTGAAAACTTGTTGGAATTGCTGTCTCTCTTCTTCTAGGAGCTGGAAACCACTGTTGATATTCTGATGGATAGAATTTTTTTTTAAAAAAAGTGATTTTCAGACCCTTGAAGAAAAGTACCACAATGAAAGTAAGCATTCAAAAATTGGCTAGAATAGCTTACTACAGTTGCAGAAGACATCTGTCTGACAGCGTTCATTAGCTGATTCATATATTACAATTAATTTCCCTTTAGAAAGGAAATCTTAAATAGCAGTGTGAATAATAGGATCTTGTGTGTGCAATTTAATGCTGACTGGCAGGAATTTCTACCGGCTTTAATCTATACATAGATAGGAAACCTGACTTCTTTAAAATTCTGAAGATGACTCTCTGTGGAGTTTCTCAGTCATCCAGGTCATGGTTATCCCAAAGCTGCTTTTTCAAGAGGTACCTGGACTTTCTTGTTTTTCTTTGAAGACATTTCACTTCTCATCCAAGAAACTTCTTCAGCTCTGACTGGATGGTGAGGAATGGGAGGATTTATATTCCTTGCAGACAGCTGGTCATTTGCATTCTTTTAAAGAGTCGTTGAGGTGTTGAAAATTTGTCTGTGTCCTCAGTTCACCTGAGTAGTGCAAATGGAAATGCTGAAAGAACTGTGTTGTAGACTGGAGATAGATGATGTCGTATTCTTTCCCCTCTATTGAGGGCTGTTCAATTTTGACACAGATGTCCTCTTTGACCCCTCTTTCAAACCAGTGGTCCTCTCTGTCCAAAATGTGGACTTTGCTGTTTTCAAAAGAGTGCCCTTTGTCTTTTAAATGCAGATGAACTGCTGAATCTTTCCCTGATGGGTTTTTCAGCAGTTCCAAGAAAGTTCCACACCCATTTGCACTACTCAGGTGACCCCAAGGACATAGATAAACTTCCAAGTGGCCTCAACAACTCTATAAAAGAATGCAAATGACCAGCTATCTGCAAGGAATATAAATCCTTCCATTCCCCACCTTCCAGTCAGCACAAATGGTCATGGAAGCGCAGAGCCCAGTGACCTGTTGGAGCCCCAAATGTTGCCAACTTTAAAGGCTTCTCCATGAATTGAGAATTTGTTCCAGATGGGAAGTCTGGTGCTACGTAGGATAGAAAGAAGCTATTTTTATGCCAGAGTGCCTTAACCTTCAGCCTACCTCAACAATAAGTTTGCCATAAAATGTATGATTTATTGGGATAATAATGCCCCAACAAGCTCTTAGTCGGTCATTTTTGCACCGTGATAAGCAGGCTATGATTTGCACATTTCTCTGCCTCAGAATGCATTTGTTAAGTTTATAGTCCTGTCTTTCTATTTAATAAAAAGCATCTGTGTATTTCCTTTGCTTATTTTGTAGAAGAATGTCTTCCAAGCAGGCCACCTCTCCATTTGCATCTGATGGAGAGGGAACAACAACCCAGGACTTAGCATCACAGGAGCAAGAAGAAGACAACAATGAAGAACTTGTCGCTTCCCATCTGCCTCTGCACACCATATTGCACAACAAACCTCACTCTGAAGAGCTCCCAGCTCTAGTCACTACAATTCAACCAGACTCAGACTGGAACAGTGTTATCTCAACTCAGCATAGGATGGTATGTCCTGAAGGGGCGGTACATTTTGAGTCATCATTTAGGGCAGCTTTCCTTATGTATGATCTTTTTGAGATTGTACTGTGGGTTGGTTTGACTATTATACTAAATTATAGTAGCTTCTATTTATAAATGATTCCCATCTCTGCCAGATTCAGCTTATTTTTTTCTTGAGATGGTTTGTGGTTAATCTTGGGTAAGGTTAAAGAAAATAAGCCAGATTCACGAACTATTATTTTGAATTTGGAGAACATATCAAAATGAAAGCAAGACCTTTCAGCAGAATCAGAGGGCAATAATTTTCCCTGTATTAAACCATGGCTACGTTTGTATGCTTGAATATAATGAATAAGAAAGCAGCAAGTTTAATAGATCTTTTTCTTGGATATAAATATACAAGTTTTCCCCAATAAGGCCATAATTAGTTTCTCTTAAAAAAGAAATATCTTTGTTAAGTAAAGGTGTTGCTATTTTCTGATTTAACTTTTAACATAATAGCTGTTGGTTAATTGATACAATTAGTTGATTTTTGTATAGCCAGATATTTTATTGTTTTAACAGTGGTGTCTTTTCTTCAGGTTAGCAGAGTTATCTTGCCTCCAACTTTGGGATAATGTTTGGCATCATATTTAAAATCTAATTTCTGAAGGCCTTCAGCTGTGGTCATATATCAGCATACAATATTAACATTGGAAAAATGCAGCATTTCTCTCTAAATTGCTACTGTTTGAGAATTTCTGATTTGAAGTTTGCAATGACTATGATTCCATTCCACAGCATGTAGATAACAATGATAAAATTCCTTGTTGTTATATATAGATCTGTTTCGAAGCAGTAAAAAAGGCTTTGAAGTGGAAAAGCTTCCATAGAATCATAGGACAGGAAGGACTTGATTGCCATCTATGTTAAATCCTGAAGTTAGAGGACACTATCTCTCTCAAGATAGATTGTAGAATAGTTCGTGCTAGCTGAAAATGCTTATTAACATTAGTCTAATTTTTTCTGATAATATAAGCCCATTTAAGTGATATAAAATGAAGAACATTTTAAAAGGTAGTCACAGCTATTTAGATTTTACAGTAAAGTATATGTTTATGATGAAGAGGATTTTGACTTCTGATGTAAATGTTATATTGTTTATTTATATGGATAGCACAACTCATTCTAGAGGCATCCCTTTGAAATATGAGATACATGAAAATGTCCACTATGTACAGACATATTGTATGTTTTAAAGAAATGTTGACTTCAGATTTTACTTTCCATATCCAGGCATTTATTTTATATATTGGTAATAGTAACTTGCAAGTGGGAAAGACCTTCTTTTATCCTCTAAATATGTAAGGTTTCTATTTTATAAGTACGTGGTCATAGAATTTCTATGGCATCAATACAGACATTATCTTAGTGTGCTGGGCAGACTGAAAATTTGCTGGAAAACTTGCCAAAAATTACAGTGTCAAATAATTTGATTTATTGTGATTTTCCAGTGAAAAAAAAGGGGCATTGTCTTACCTGAACGCCTTTTCTCAGCATGATGATGGAGAGTCCACGGATGGGTTGTCTTAATCTATCTGCTCCAATTGGACTAAGTCTGAAATTGGTAATGCCCCCTCTGTGCCAAGTGCACCCCAGTTTTAGACTAAGGCGATACCCAGACTTTAGTCCGACGCGTCTGAAAAAATGGGAACCAGGCCAACTGACCTAATGGGAGGGAGTGGATTCTCCATCATCATGCTGAGAAAAGGCGTTCAGGTAAGACAACGCCCCTTTCTCCAGCATGATTGGATGGAGAACCCACGGATGGGACATACCAAAGCCCTGTGTCCCTAGGGTGGGAAATTAGATTGGGCCTGGGTCCCATCCAATGTTAATGCGTGTTCTAGTACCTTGCGGCCAAATGAAGCTGTAGAAGATGCGTATATATCCATCTTGTAGTGACGGACAAAGGAGGAGGGCGATGCCCATGTTGCTGCCCTACAAACTTCCTCTATGGATGCCTGGGTAGACCAGGCTGCTGTGGTGGCTGCTCCCCTGGTGGAATGGGCCGTGATATGGCTGGGAGCTTGTAGTGACTGAGTCTGGTATGCCAGAGAAATGCAAGCTCTAATCTACCTGCCTATAGTAGTGATGGCTAGGGCGAGGTCTGCTTGGGCACTTTGCCATGATGATGACTGAATTAGAATGTCATCTAAATAGCATTGAACTCTGATGGGAATTTGTCTAAGGTGGGCTGCGATCACTGCCAGTACCTTTGTAAATACTCTCGGTGCAGATGAGAGGCCAAATGGAAGGGCTCTGTACTGGTAGTGGCGTCGGGCATAACTGAATCTGAGGAATTTGCGGTGTCCAGGAAAAATGGGAATGTGCAAATATGCCTCAGTCAGGTCTATTGAGGTAAGAAAGTCACCTTGCCTGACGCCAGCCAGGATTGATTGAAGTGATTGCATCTTAAATTTTTTATACTTCAAGTAGAGGTTTAGACCTTTTAAGTCCAAGATCGCCCTCCAGCCCCCTGAAGTCTTGGAAATGACGAAGAGGTTTGAGTAAAACCCTCGTCCTTCTTGTTCTTGTGGAACTGGTTCAATTGCTTGTATTTGCAATAAGTGGGCTATTGCCTCTGACATAAGTTCAGCTCTGGTCCTGTTCGTTGAAATAGGACAAGAGTGGAATCTGTCAGGTGGATGGGAACAAAATTCTAGTCTCAGACCTTGGGAGACGGTGTCTAACACCCATGCATCCGTAGTAGTGGCCGCCCAAATGCTGGAATAGAGGGCCAGCTGGCCTCCTATGGGAGGTGAGGCTGCAGGTTCACTTGCCTCGCTTGAAGGAGCGGCTCCCTGAGCCTCGAAAGGACCGCTTGGTCTGGAACTGTGATCTGCCTCTGTATGCTGAATGATCTTGTTGTCGTTCCTGTCTCTGAAAGGAAGGGCGAGGGGCCTGGGCCCAGTCCCAGGATGGCTCTGGCCGAAAGGGCTGCCTTCTGTAGTTACTCTGCGACAAGTTCCCCCAGCGTCTATCTCCCCTCCTTGATGTATTAACCAAGGTCTTGCGTTTATCCTTACCTTCGGTTAGGTATGGCTCTAGCGCCTTACCGAAGAGATGTCCACCTGTGTAAGGTTTAGATGCCAGACGCCACTTGGCCTTGGTGTCTGCTCGCCAGTTTCTGAGCCAAAGGAGCCTTCGTGCTGAAATGTCTGCCGCGATGGTCCGGGCAGTGTATCTGGCCATGTGTAAGGAGGCATCGGCTAGATACTGGGACGTGGCCACCAACTTACCCAGATTCTGGTGGGCTCTGAGCTGGTCCGGAAGGATCATGTCCTGGAGCTCCCATAACCACAGGACCGAAGCCCTGGCAAAGAAGGCCATGGAGGTTGCCGCCCTCATTGCCCAGGCTGATGCCTGGTGGGACCTGCGTAGGGCGGACTTGATCTTCTTGTCCTCTGCCCTTAGTGCCTCATTTATGTGCCCAGGGATGTTGGACTTGGGAAATAATGAATTCAAGGGCTCATCAATCTCAGGAATCTCCAAAAGGGAGGTCAGGGAAGGAGCAACATTGAACAATGTTCTCTCTACCGCACCAGGGCTTAAGGGGGATCCTAGGTTCTCCCATTGTTTCTGGACTATATTTAGAAAAAGGGGAGGGCAGGGAATATGATTCTGTGAGACAGAGGGCTCAGTGTATATGGCATGGGGACCCTGGGATGTTGGTGGGGTCTCCTGTTCTTGGGCGAGGTTTGCAGTAGTGCAGGCCTTGAGTAGCAGGGAATTGAAGAAGGAATGGTCAAAGAGACCGACAGGAGGGGTGGGTTCGGATGGGGCGATGCCCTCATCATCAGACAAAATCAGGCCAGATTGTTTAGCTCCTGTAGATTCCAAATCCGATGCGGGATCATCCATCCAATCCGGAGATTGTGAATGCTGAGTGGCCTGGGGGGGTGGCTGTAGGGTGTTGGAGGCCATAAATTGAGCCACCGCCTGGGCTATCATGGACTGGAGGAGGTTCGGGTTCAGGGCCTGGTTTTCAGGAGAGCGAAGTCCTGCTGCAGTGGGGGTGAGTGTGGCCTGGGGCCCTGAGGTGTCCTGACCGGTTATACCCCTCCCTGAAGCCACTGTTAGGTTTGAATCTGACTCGGGGATTCCCCTGGGGGGAGACCAAGCCCCTGGGGCTGAGGCACTATGTGAAGAAAGAGGCTCAAAAATAGACCTTGCCATCGTGCCTGTCAGATCTGAGGAGACCGCTCTCAGTCTTTGGCACCCTTCCTCCCTCTGTGGCTCCCTGCTTGGCCGGGCTTGCTTGGTAGTGCTCTTTCCACTTGCCTCTGATTGGCGACTCCTCTTGGCCGGCTCGCTGCCTCTCTCTGCCATGATGAGTTGCTCTGGTCTCAGTCTTGGCAAAACGCCCCCCCCTCGGCACTATACTTCACCAAGGGAGTCTACAGAGATACTTCAGCCCAAGAGGGGGGTGGGCGGGGAATTGATGGGCACCCCGATCACTTAGGATCGATCAGGCCCTCCCCGGTTGAAACTGCTCTCTCGAAGAGCTGGCCACCGATGATTGAATACTGCCTTCAGGAGAAAGTTCCAGGCAGTCTGGGCCCCAGCCACACACAAAATGGCCGCCGAGGGCTTTAGCCACGCACAAAAAGGGCCTCCGGGGGCTTCAGCCACACACAAAAACGCCGCTGATGACTTTAGTCACACACAAAATGGCCACCGAGGGCTTCAGCCACATACAAAATGGCCGCCGAGGCTTCAGTCCCACACAAAATGGCCGCCAGTGACTTCCGCCACTCACAAAATGGCCACCAAGACTTTAGCCACACCCAAAATGGCCGCCAAGGGCTTCAGCCACATACAAAATGGCCGCCGGGGGCTTCAGCCACACCCAAAATGGCCGCCGGGAGGCAATTCAAAATGGCGGCCGTCAATTTCGCGCCCTAAAAAACGGCCGTTGGTAGAAGGCCTTGAGGCCTAGGGCGTAAGCTGCAATGAGCCCTCGT